CCATCAATCATGCATATCGATGCATGATGGCCGAGGAGCCGAATTGCACGACTCAATATGAGATGAATTCACATGAAAACCCAACAAGACCTAAACTCCATCATGGGTAATCCGGAGTGTCGGTGACAGGGAATTGAGACACGTTCTGTCACTCGGAGTACGAAACGTCCCTCGTTTCTCGTGCTTGGGCTAACTCCTATCACAAACACAATGCAAATCAAATGGCATACACAATGCTCGATATAACATGGCATACACAATGCACTAACACGCAACTTAGCATACGCAATGCTATGAATTGAAAAGGAATACACAATGCATAATAGACTTACACCAACATGAGTGGACCTCAGCCACACTCACATCAGTGGCCATAAGATGAAAATGAGACGACCGAAATGCGTGCACACATACACGATACCGAGGACCGAACCTAAGGCATTAAATGCCACTCTACCAAAACATGGCAAGGATGAAACATGGCCTTCAAACATGTAATTTTCAGCACTGAAACATAATGCTAAATGGTCCCGAATCATGCAAACATGGCACCCGACGCATGAAGTAAGCCCCGAAACTCAAAACTAGGCACATGTATTGACTTGTAGCTATACAAAGCGTGCATTATTTGACCATGAAGCACAAAGATAGAGCCAAGGCAGTCCCAAAACACGAACATTTCTGGTTCAAAGCATGACCAAAAGATGCTAGCATGATGGACTAAAATAGCATGCAACTTTGACTAGCAAATATGGTTTACATGGTATGCATATGAAGCATATGAAATCTCACCAAACCAGCAAAAATCAGTGAATAAAACATGTCAAAATATGTCCAAATAATCACTGAAATTCAGCCAACGTGTGCAAAAATGAGGGGCTTCTTTGGAAGGGCATACAAGGGGTAATTAAGCACATGCATCAAGGACACTTAGCATGGCACAACCAACTTTGGAAATCAAATATGACAGCCCTAAAACTCACCAAATTGACCCTGAAATTGGTCTAGGGAACATGCAAAGAAAGGCCTCTTTGAAGGGCCTTGAATGGAATTGGTCTACACATGCAACATAGACCTAAAATATGGTGAAATGGGCCTCGAAAAAAGCCAAGGCAGACCTCAAAACTCTCAGAATGAGGCCTGGAAAGTGACTTCGATGCATGCAAAAAAGGGTCCCTTTGGAAGGCCTAAAAGATCCCCAAACAAGACAAGGAGAGAGGGGGTCACCCCCCTCTAATTTTGGCCATCAAAAATACATCTAAGCCACTGAAAATTCATTGGGTTTCAGTGGCTAAGAGGCCAAACCATGGTCAATGCAAGTGCTCTAATGCATGGCCCTAATCATGAAGGAATGAAGCATGCATAGGGAAGGATGACTCCAAACAGGGAATAGACCTTAATCAAACATAAAGATGATATCAAAACAAGATTTTTTTCAGTTTAGGTCGAGGTCTATTCATTGGATTTCAGTGGCTAAGAGGCCAAACCATGGTCAATGCAAGTGCTCTAATGCATGGCCCTAATCATGAAGGAATGAAGCATGCATAGGGGAGGATGACCCCAAACAGGGAATAGACCTTAATCAAACATAAAGATGATATCAAAACAAGATTTTTTTCAGTTTAGGTCGAGGTCTGAAATGGCTCACAAATAAGGCTAATGTATCATGCAAAAAACAGCCCTAAAAGAGAGATTGAACAAACAGGGAAGCAAAAGGCCTCAAACAGCAAATATCCCTTCAACAAAATTGAAGAGGGGCTCAAAAAAAGATACTTTACAGTTTATGAAAAATCTCGAATATGCTCACAAATAAGGCTAAAATATGATGCAAAAATAGCCCTAAAAGAGAGATAAAGGGAAAGGGGTAGTAGATGGCCTCAAATAGTAAAGAGTCCTTCAAAAAAGTTTAATAAGGGCTCAAAATAAGGTACTTCACAGTTTGGCTCGAAGCCCAGAAATGCTCAAAAACATGGCTAATATATCATGCAAAATAAGCCCCAAAAGATGGATAAAGCACAAAGGGGGAGTAGAAGACTTCAAACAGAGAAAAGTCCTTAATCAAACATGAATATGAGCTCAAAATAAGACTTTTTTTAGTTCAAGACAAATCCCAAAAATGTAAGAAAAACGGGCTAAGATATAGAACAAAATAGTGTAAAAATGGGGAGAATAGGAGCTTACCCTTGTAGCCTAACTTTCCAGCAGCCTTTGGTCCAAGGAAATGAGCTTTCAACCCTTCAAAGATCCTCCATACACGTGTATGGAGGATGCACCAAATGGTCTCCAGCTGGCACAGCTGGATTACACTCAGAGAGAGGAAAAGCAATAAACAGGGCGGCTAGTTCAAGTGGTCGGCCGACCACTCCCCCTGGTCGGCCGACTAGGTATCAAAAGGTTCAAGCAAAATTGCTGGTCGGCCTACCCAGAAAGGTGGCCTTCCAGATGAGTAGAACACAGCCCTGTGGAGAAAAACCAGAAAATGTGACCCAAGAGAGAGAAAAGCTAGCTTTTAGATGGGGTTCAAAAGGGTCAAGATGAATTTCTGGCCGGCCTACCCATATTGGTGGCCTCCCAGATGAGCATAACACAATGGTGGTATGAAAAGCCAGAAAATGTGGCTCAAAAGTAGGAAAAACCAGCTTTCTGTCAGAAAAATCGACTTTTGGAGAGAGAAAATGAGAAAACTGGCTTTTCAGGGAAATAGGTGTCCAGCCGTCATCCTATCACCTCCCTAACAATGAAAATAGGGTCCCTACCAAAAATGGACCAAAACGGATGCAAAACGAAGGTTCGAGGGCCAAAACACGCGGTTCGGGGCCCCGAAAATAGGTTGTTAGGCACCGGAAGTGGCGTATGACCACGAAGGTGGTCTCCAGGGCCACAGTGTTCCTCTAAAGGGAGGAAATAAGATGTGTGCCAAAAACCGGAGCAAACGAAGGTAGTTAAGCGGTCCCAAACCGAGACACACGGCCGACGGCTCCGAAAACCAAAAACCAGGCTCCAAACGGGAAAAATGGCCTACGACCACGAAACGTAGCCTACGGCCACTGAGAGATGGTCTACGAGACCTCTCCCTCCCTTTGGGAAGAGAAAACGTAGAAAACAGAACCTGGTTCGTAAACCGAGGCAAAGCACAAAAGAGCCCCGAAGTCCGGAGGCAAGGCTCGCGGCCGAGACTCTGAAACCTCAGAACGAGTACAATATGCAACATTACCGAGCGCTCAACTGGTGACGTCTAAGGCTTAAGGTCGGTCAAAAGTGGAGTGTCTACAGGCGCTTCAAGAGCGTTGAATAACTTTTCATATCTAAGGCAACACTCTCTCATATTTTCCATAATCATCAACCAATCATATCACTTACATATTATTGGGTCTTGAAAACATTTGAAGGCCAAAACAAACAATGTTAAAGCTTTCCAAAATAAAATTATGGGAAAATTATGCTAATAGTCCCTATAGTTTACACAATGTGTCAATTTAGTTCCTGAAATTTTAATTTACTCGATTTTGCCCCTTAATTTAACAGATTGTGTCGTTTTACTCCAATAAATAACGGTTGTTAAGTTAATTTAATGGAAAATCAAACAATGTGTCAATTTGGTCCCCGTATTTTTCACAATGTGTCAATTTAGTCCTTGTCAAAATCGAGAAAATTGAAACTACAGGGACCAAAATGACACATCGTGTAAAGTACAGGGACCAAATTAATATATTGTTTGACTTTCCGTTAAATTAACTTAACAACCATTATTTATTGGACTAAAATGACACAATCCATTAAATTAAGAGGCAAAATCGAGCAAATTGAAATTATATGGACCAAATTGATACATCGTGTAAACTATAGGGATTATTTACATAATTTATGCTAAAATTATTTCTAAAATTTTTTTTTTTTAAAATGACAAAATCAATTATTTGAAGGTCTATACAAAGGAATTTGACTAAAATCTACTATGTTCTTCGAATTAAAATGTCATTTTTTATCAAACTACCAAATTTGAGAGAATCCTGAGCTCATTACCGAACTATGTTTTTACCCTCAATTTGACTTCTTTGTCTTTTTCTGATCCGATTTCTCCAAGAATTCTTCAATTACTTATTCTACATGAGGAAAAAAGAACTTTGAGTTTTTCATAATGCCTTGTTTGTTTCATTCTCATTCCTTTTTGTTTTTTTTTTTAAAAAAATATTTAATGCACAAAATCCAATCACAGAATCGGATATAACTCTCTTACATGAAGTGAAAACCATCAATCCAACACATGCGGCGAGACTCCGTGTGAAAGGATTATATTCAATTCTATAATCGAATTATGTACACTTTGAATGGTATAGTAAGAGTGTTTTGTCCCATCAATAGGACTGAGTCTTCATTCATCCAATCAATCTAGTTGAAATATTACTATGGCATTCAATTTCATTTTTACAACAATCAATATTGAATCATTTCCTTCTTGCCTTGTTAAATTTACAACAATCAATATTGAATCATTTCATCCTTGCCTTATTTTTGGTACAAACAACTTTTCCGTTTCCTTGTCGGTTTTATGATATTGCACCGCCTCTAAATGGCCTCTATACTGTGGCCAAATGACTTTGCACCTTTCACTAGCTAAAAAATTAGATACAATCTTTGAATCAAAACACATTTAATATGATCGTGAAAGTAAATTTATTAATTCCATATAAGAAGATGACAAGATTTGAATCACATAGGGCAAGTAAAAAGGAAGATGAATATCATATCAACTGATATGTGACAATATCTTCGATACTGATATGTATTTTAATATTATTATTTAAAACGATGATTAAAACTTTTTTTTCATTTAGTGCGTTCGAAGTTTTACATACTCATAGAGAGAGCAAACTTAAGGAACAGCTATTAAAAAAAAAAAATAGCAAAGGATGTAAAGGAAAAGAGGGTGATCATAGACTGATTACATACCCACATAAGCCTATACATTTTTTTTATTTTGTTATTTACTAAGTACAGTACTAGAGCTTCAAAGTTAAGTCCAGACTTGGGGAATTGTTGTCTTCTTTGGCTCCATTAGCAGTCAATTCCCTTGCTGTAGGCAGATCAAGAGCAAGCTTTGGTTTCCAGTCCACATGATTGAGATAGGAATGGAAGTATTGGTAGGTATAATTCCCATGAGCTGCTGCTTTATGTGGAAACCCATTTCCAGACCTTGCTCCAACCCTAGAAGGACCATGGCCAAGCCTGAGTGTGAGCTCACAATGATCCGGCTGAGGTTGAGCCACTGACGGTGGCACAACTTCGAGAGGCGGCTTAACTGACCGGAGTAAGGCTCGTTTCCGGTATGCAAGGGGGTTTTTCATGTATTGTTTCTTCTCCTCGTTTCTCTGTCTCTGATGAGCGTTCTGGTGACCTCCTAAGGATTGGGATGATGGAAATGGTTTCGAGCAATACGTGCATACAAAAGACCCGTAATTGCTTGCATGCTTCAAGCTCAAAGATTCACCCATATCCAGACTTGGTTTTGGAAGTTCAGTTGAGCTTTCAGAAGAGTCAGCTTTGAGTTGCATGGTTAATGGAAGAGAGAAAGACAGAGAGACAGAAAGAGAGAGAGGGTCTGGGTTTCAGAAGATAAAGAAGGGGGCTATTTATAGGAAAGATTGGACTGTGGATTCAGACTGATTAAGTGAAGGTTTAGGCTAGAATGAGAGAGGTCTAATATGATTGAGACTGGAAAAGCACAAAGAAGACGAGATTAGGTTAGGGTCTTGTTGCTAGGTGGTGAGAGATTTGTGTTGAGGAGACACGTAGGATTGTATGGATGGGATGCTAGCTATTTGGTGTCAAACACTTGCATGGGCTAATAAAAGTGTGACGGTGATGATGATTCTTCCTCCTTTTTTTTCCTTTTTTTTTTTTAAGTTAATTAATTACTTTTTAGTCTTAAATAATGAGTTTTGTGTCATTTTAGTCTCTAATATTTAAATTGTGTGAGCATAATTTTTTATCTATAAAGCATAAGTACAAGTAAGGTACACCAAAAATTTTATAGAGCATAATTATTTTAAAAATATTATCATTTGATTACTAAGTATTTACTCACAACTAAATAAACATTAAATGCTACGAGTATACGTAAAATAAATGTACGAAGCATGTGTGGTCAAGAGAAACAGAGTGGTTAAAAAAAAGGCTAGATTTTGGCCTCTTGTTAGCCAGTATTGTTGTTTGTCAATAGTCGATCCAACTATGAGTTGGTTCTTCTGAGACAACAAACTGATAAGCTCATATTTCATGATTTTTTGCCTTTTTATTTTTATTTTTGCATTAATAATTATCTTGAAAATATGAATTTATCTCCTAAAACTTCTTTGGAGAAAAACGAACTATGTAGTTATCATGCTCTCCCTTTGAAAATACAAAAAAAAATTCTTGCTACACCCTTCTCTACCTTCAACCTCTAGTCATCTTTGGTGCCTCCAAGAACACAGATATCTCCCCCAACCCAAAATTCTTCACCCGAGGGGCACATCTAAGTGGGTGTTTGGGAAGTGAATTTTTTTGTAGATTTTTTTAGTTGTATGATATTATTTGAGAATAAAAAATTTGTGTCTGGGAAGATAGTTGGATTTTTTTGTGGTTGGATATGATGTTTGTAAGAGAAAAAATGAAATGATTATGGGGTTTGATGTGATATTTTGTTTGGATTTATTTTTTTTCGGTTTTGTAATCAATTTGTCTTTTAGTGAAAAAAATTCAAAAAAAACCAAAAAACAGAGTTCCCAAACAGCGCCTAAGCCTCATCAAAAAGTCCATAGCCTATGGGCGTGCACAGCCGAGGTATGAAGAAGGGACGATTTGATTTGATCCTAAAATATATAGGTTGGGTGTTGGACCGAAGGGTGAGGCTTGTGGGCCGACACTCCAGCCTAACTTGATGGACTTCTTTGAGCTTGGTCCATGGCCCAACCCATGGGCTCATTTGAAAAGCCTATAATAGCCCTAAAAATACTAAATAATTTATATTATTTTTCCCTCTTTTTTCTTCACTTTTTTACAAAAGAAAAAAAATTTAAAAAAATTTGTGTATATAATAACAAGATTAAAGCTAAACAATGAGTAGCACACCAACTATAAAACTAATAACTATATGTTCACTAAATTAAAAATGCGTAAAAATAATAACATAATGAATTTATTGATGTAAATTTGTATTTCAACAAATAAAGCTTATTTTTTTATTTATCATGATTTTCTAAGTGTTGCAATACATTTCAAAAATCTGTGTTATAATTTTTTTATTTTAATTCAATAAAAAAAAAACTCGAATTAAAACCAAATTAAGCCCGTTTCGGCGAAGCCTGTCTTGAAGCCCATGTAGAGAGCCTAAGTTTTAGAAATTTAGGATGACCCAGCCTGTTGATTCTGAAAGCCCATGAACCTAGGTTGAGCATGGGCCTGGCTTAGGCACATGCTTGCTCTAGGAGCCAAATTTAGAAGCAATTGTCAATTGGGCTGAGGTTGGTTTGAATAGGTCGATTGTATTTATTTTGTTTAGGTTATTCTTGTTCTAAGCATGTTATTTTAATTCATGATGGGTTATACCTTAATTTTAAAAAATATAACTTTTAATTAAAATAAAATTCATAATATTTTAAAATTTAAAATACAAAAAAAAGTGTCACGTGCATCATCACCTTGAGAAAAACGACTTTTGAGTGAACTTGAGCATAACTCAATGAGAGGGTAATTTTGGTGAAAATTGGGCCGAGCTATGAGATGGACATTATGGCCCAAAGTACGAAGGGCTGGGTAAAGAGGTCGTAAAATTACTCCGGCCCGAGAGAAATGTAAAGTTACTCCGGTCCAGAAGCGACTTGGAGTTAGGCCGGTCTCAGAGTTAGTCCGGTCATGACGTATTGTGTTTAGAACGGTCAGAACCTTGCTACTCGGTAGCTCGGTCTAAACATACTATGGTTTGTGCATGAGAGCACCAAGATAAGGAGGAGTAAAAGAAAGAACCGAACTAAGGATAGTTCGGCCTACTCTGCGGCTCAGCATAGCTATGATTACTTCGATCATGTTGGAGTTCGGCCATGGTAATAACCATCTCACTTGGTTTAAGCAGTGAGGGGGGTGTTGGAGGATAAGGATTATCCTTCAGGAGGTTAAATACTAGGAGGACTCTGCATGGAGGAATAGAAGTCCTACTAGGATTGTGCTACACGAAACCTATAAAAGCTCACAAACATCACCTTTGGAGAAGGAACACATAATTTTGCTTTCTGAATACATAGAACTTTGTCTATTTGTCAAGCTTACTGACTTAGGCATCGGAGAGGTTTCCGGCACACACCCGCCGGCTAGCTCACGTTTGTGTTTTCAGGTGATAAAGCGACGTCGTACGGAGGAGCGTGGACTTGGTCAACAGGATTATACGAGGAGAATTATTTCCTCCCCGTACAATTGGCGCCTAGGAGGACTCTGCATGGAGGAATAAAAGTCCTACTGGGATTGTGCCACACGAAACCTATAAAAGCTCACAAACATCACCTTTGGAGAGGGAACACATAATTTTGCTTTCTGAATACATAGAACTTTGTCTATTTGTCAAGCTTACTGACTTAGGCATCAGAGAGGTTTCCGGCACACACCCGTCGGCTAGCTCACGTTTGTGTTTTCAGGTGATAAAGCGACGACGTACGAAGGAGAGTAAACTTAGTCAACAGAATTATACGAGAAGGTTTATTTCTTTCTCGTACAATTGGCACCGTCTGTGGGAAGTACAGACAGAACAAAACCTCTTGACTAAAGCTTCTCCTCTTTAAAAAAACAATGGCGCACATTGAAGAATTGCCACAGTCCGCCACCGACGGGAAAACTCCAGATGGGGGTGCAAGGCGTAAGGGATTACCTTCTGTCCCTCCCATGGCGGACTTGGAGTCCCAACGACATAACACCAGGAGGGATACAAGGGGGAGACGGACTCACAGCCCCCGTCACTCTCGTTCACAAAGTCCTGACAGGCAAAGGCGGAGGATTAATCCTCAAGTTCTAGATGACCGCGTGAAGGAGCAAGACGAATTAATAAGGAAGATGGCGGCGGACATGGAGGCCTTGAAGCGCCAGATGAAGAAAAAAGAAGTGGCGACAGGAGAGGGGCGCAAAAACAAGACACCCCCTCGCCACTCAGAAAATCGTAGTAGGAATACCACACCCTCGCAAGGAGAGAGTAGAAGCCTCAGGACAGGCGACACTCAATCCTTGTCTTCCAGAACTCGTCACTCCAGGTCTGAGAAGACGAGATCCGAAAGATCATACACTGAAGGAAGCACATATTGGCCTTCACATTCACACCAAACCAGATCTAGACAAACCGAGCTACCCAGGTCATCCGACTTACGAACCGTGCTAGAAGAAAAAGCACGATGCAAGGAGGATGCCAGGGCAAGGGATCCACACCGAGTTTCGGCCTTACAACGGTTGGCTCCTCGGACGCACGGAAGCGTCGAGGTTGGAAGGCCAATACCGCGACCGGCCTACGAACCAACAGACAAGGCATTGGCAAGACTACAGACCACGCCGTTTGTCCCAGCGATCGAAAACGCACCCCTACCATCAGGCTTCCTTCAGCCGAAATTCAATACATATGAAGGGAAGACGGACCCATATTCACACCTGAGCCACTTTCGCCAAGTCATGGCCGTGTACAGGCGAAACGAGGCCCTAATGTGCATACTCTTCCCATCAAGCCTTGGCGACCTAGGCTTGACTTGGTTCGAAAAACTCCCAGAGGGCAGCATAGCCTCCTGGGCCCAATTGGCAGAAGCGTTCGTAAC